GATGATGATGATGATGATGATGATGATGATGATGATGATGATGATGATGATATAGTGTTTTAAGGTTTGCAAAATATTTTTCACGTACTGTCTCAATTGTTCCTCATAAAATCCTGGAAACTAGCTGAAGGAAAACAGATTTAAGTGACTTGTTCAGGGTCACACAGCTAGTGAGATTCTGAGGCCAGATTTGAACTCAGCAAGATTCATCTTCCTGACTCCAGGCCCAGTGCTCTACCTACCAAGCTGCCCCATTTTCAGTTATAGAACTTCTTGACTTTATACCATATGTAGTAGAAATCCAAGGAAAGTTCTCAAGGAAGGGAGTGACATAATGAAGCAGCATTGTCTGGTGGAAAGGGAATTGAGTATGGACTCAGAGGATTTAGATTCAAATCCTTCTGATGCTTGCAAGGCATAGTGAATTTGGAGTCAGGAAGATCTGCCTTTAGATCCTGCTCCAGATATTTACTAGCTATATGACACTGGGGGAGTCACTTAGCCTTTATGTGACTCAGTTTCATCACCTGTAAAATTAAGGGTTTGAATTAGATGACCTCTGAAGTCTCTTCCAGCTGAGATATATGATCCAATGATCAGATGAAGGTGGGAGTTTAGAAAGATTAATCTTGTAGTGGTATCCCCTAATTGCTTCAGTTAGTGCTGAATGTGGAAAAAAAGTACAGAATTCAGCCTCTGAGATGTAGGCAGGCTCTGTGCCTCTGGTCTATCCTCTTCACCTTGCTTCCTTGACCTCATTAGTCATTAAGTCATCACGTGTTTCCTGTATTGTCCTATCCTCTCTGCTCCTCTTTCTTTACAATTTCATCATGTTTGACTTGTACAGTCACAGAATCTCAGAACCAAGAAGCTAAACAGTCACCTATGTCCGATCAAGGATCTCCTCTTCAAAATTCCAGTCGAATTTTTTTCCTTCCTTCCTTCCCATCTTCCTTCCTTCCCTCCTTCCTTCCTTCCTTCCTTCCTTCCTTCCTTCCTTCCTTCCTTCCATCCATCCTTCCTTCCATCCATCCTTCCTTCCTTCCTTCCTTCTTTCCCTGGTATTAAACTAGAGATCAGCAATTCCACATTTTCCATCTGGTGCCCTAACTATCCTGACCACCATCCTCTGAACATGCAGTAGTTTTTCAAAATTCTTTCTAAAATACAACACCCTTAACTGAATAAACACTCCAAGTTTGGTCTGATTAGGGAAAAACTGCCACCTTCCTCACTGGGGAAACTTTCTCATAATGCAATATAAGACAACCTTAACCTTTTTAGCTACTGCATCACACTATTGGCTCATATTGTGTTTGAGGTCCACTAAAATTTTCCAGTCTTTCTTTCTTTGTTTCTTTTCTTCCTTCCTTCCTTCCTTTGTCTTTTTTCTTGTTTCTTTCCTTCCTTCTTTTCTCTTTTCCTTAATTCCTTCCTTCTCCTCCTCCTCCTCTTCTCTTCTTCTTCTTCTTCTTTCTTCTTCTTCTCTATCCCTACCTCTCTTTCTTACCCTTTCTCCTTTGCCTTCCCAATCCCCTTTCTCCTCTCTCTTTCTCTCTTCTACATTCCTTCCCATTTTTCCCTCTGTCAACCTTCACCCTCTTGTATTCATCATCTTCACCTGGGCAATATATTGACATCTTCTATAAAATTGTCAAAACTCCCATTAGCTTGGACTCAACAAGCCAATCAGTGCTCAGGATGGGCAATGGAAGTACAGAGGGGAGCCCATAAATGAAGGTAATAGAGTTTCATTGCATTGATACATAGAAACATAAACCAAACAGCAGCCTCATCAGACAATGAGCTCACTTCATTAAAGTCCCTGGAGTAGAAATCTGAATAGCCAGATGTCACCTTGGAACCCAGACTTCCTATTCATGATTGCGTGGCAGAACACATCAATGAACCGCAAGGAAAACTACTAAATACTAAAATACTAAAAATACTAAAGTATTTTCTTTACAAAAATAGGAAAAATGTATCTTGAGGAAGAAAAGGCCAAGATTTTCAATGGAAATAATGAAAAAAAATGGGAAGGAATAGGGATTAACAATTTCAAATTTTAAGCTATAATACAAAACAGCAATCATCAAAATGATTTGGTAATGGTTAAAAAAAAACAGGTTGATGAGTCGAACAGAGAGATACACAACATAGAAAAACAAATATATTAGACTAGCATTCAATAAATCCAAAGGCCCCATCTATTGGAATAATGTTTCAGTATTTGGCAAAAAAATAAAAAAATAAAAAAGCAGCTGGGAAAACTGAACAGCAGTCTGAAATAGTCTGAAATAAATTAGGTCTAGACCAAAATGTCACATAAATGCCAAGATCAGCTTCAAAATAACATAAATATAGCAAAAATGTATAAGAACAAGGAAAAAATAACTTTGAGAACAATAGAGGTTAATGGCCAAACAAGAGATAGAGTATCATAGAAGATAAAGTGGATAAATTTGATTACAAAAATTTACAAAAAAAAATTGCACAATCAAGTCTATTCAAACGAAGTTTAAATGTATTTTATTTCATTAAATATTTCCAAATGATATTTAAAACCATTTTGACATTAATTTTTAAAATAATTTTTAGTTCCAAATTCTCTCCCTCCAACCCCTCCCTCACCCCTTAAGAAGGCACACAATATGATTCCAACTAAGTTTAGAAGGAGAATGGTTAATTAGGTTAAAAAAAAAAACTTTGCAGGAAGTTTCTCCGATAAAGGTGTGATTTCTAAGATATGAGTAATTGATTTAACTTTATAGGATTAAGAGCCATAACCTAATTAATAAATGTCAAGTATATAAAGTCAGTTTCCAAAGGTAGACATTAAAATTTTCTATAGTCATATAAAAATACTCTCAACAATCAAAGATTAGAGAAATGTAAATTAAAACAATTTTGAGGTTCCATTCCATACCAGTCATACTGTCAACATTGACAGAAAAAAAAAAAGGAAAATGACAAGTGTTTGCTGGGTTCCTGAAAAATAGGCACATTGATGCACTGTTGGTGGAGCTGTGATTTGATCCATTAAATCTGGAAAGCAACTTGTAACTATGCTCCAAAAGGTAGTACACTGTTCAAGTTTTTTGACCCAACAATACCACCCATAGATATCTCAAAGGGATAAAACAAAGAGGAAAATATCTTATATGTACTAAATATGTTTAGCATCTCTTTTTTAGGATAAAAGAACTAGAAACTAAAACGGTGTACATCAATTAGTAAATCACTGAACATTTCATGGTATGTGAATGGAGTGGACTGTTATTATGCTTTAAGAAATGACAAAATAAAGTTTCAGAGAAAAATGGGAAGACTTTTATGAAATAATGCAGGGAAGAATAAGGAGAATACTTTACACAATGACAACACATTAGATAAAACCAACAAACAAACAAAAAAACCAACAACTTTGAAAGACTTCAAAATTGATCAAGGCAATGATAAACCATGGTGCCAAAGGACTGATGATGAAGTAGGCTACACACTTTCTGACAAAGAAATTATGAACTTAAACTGCAGAATAAGATACACAATTTTGGAGATAGCCAATGTGGGAATGTGTTTTGCCTGACTATGCAAACTTTTTACAAGGCCTCCACTCTCCAGTGGACAGATGTTGGAGGGAGAAAAACAAATGTTACTTTTTTTAAATACACATAATTTAAATAATGAATAGATAAGAATGTGGCTAGCCGGGTAGTACCATTATGACTCTACAACTGTTATTCCCTTACTTCCACAACAACAGAGATGTTTTTATATCTGTTGGGGTTAGGTAGAAAAGTGCCGATATCAGCCAATTTTGTTGTAGTCGTGGTCATGATTTTCACTGAGCCTGATTTTCATAAGGTTCAATGAAACAATTGATCCTGTGATCCAGACCTTGAGGCTTTATCATTGATTCCAGATGAAATCATCCTAGCCAGCCTGGCACAGGGCATCTACAAAGAGGGAGAAACACATTCTGGGAGAGCCTGTTCATACCAGTCCTCTCTCTGGTGGTGAATCCAAGAGCTGAGAGAAGCAAATAACTGGAAAAGAGAAAGAAAAGCAGAAAATCAGAATTGGAGGAATGCATCCATGATCATCACACACACACAGCTTTCACAGGGTTAATATAGAATTAAGACTTTTCCTGATGATTTAAAGGCCAATAGTCTATTTACCACTGGACAAAACTCATCAATGTTAAAAAAAATATGAGATTCATGGCAAGAAGTTGTATGACTTTGGACAAGGCACAAAAGCCTCAATTCCCTCATCTGGCAAATGAAAGACCATCTCTAGGGTCCTCTTAGATTCCTTAATGTATGATTATCCAGAATTATATATCTCAAGAGCGGCTGAAATTCTTCATCTCCCTTCCTCTAAAGAAAGTAATCAGAACCAAGGAAGAGTTTGCTTTGATGACAGAGGTTCAGTGATGGTCAAAGGACCCCAAAGGGGGTGGTGAATTGGGGGTGAATCTGAAGGCAAACTCTTGGTCTTGTCTGCATCTTGACAACCCAGCAAATTAATAATGGTATAAATATTCCACATTGTTGAAAAGGAAATAAATCTCTGCCCCCCTGAACTTTTATGTTTTTGTATATAGCCAGTTTTTCTATGACAAATGTTTAATCTCAGGATAGTATTTTTACTAACTCCCAGCATGTTACTCCTGCTGTCAGTGTGTACAAAAGGAAAGCAAACATTTTAATATGAACCTAGGAAAAGTGTAATTAGGAAGATGAATCATTGGAGCCAACAGATAATCTGTTTGCAACGCTCCAGATCCGGGATGCATGCTCCTTACCAGGCAAGAGTTGGGTTAGTTTGTTCCTTGGAAAATTTCCAAGGAGTCACTTTTAAGTAAGATTACTTGTCTTTTCAAACCAGGACTTCAAAGAAAAGACTTCAATATGTCTTCATCTTCTTG